ATATATATATATATTCTTCATGTACCACGCCCAGTTATCGACCAATTTAAGAATAACCCACCTGTATCGCGAGGCACAGTAGCGGTTGCTTTGGCAACAACGATCGTCTGAGTGTCTTTAAGTATATCCCCTTGGCCGTCATCTAACTAATGTTTTATCACTAACATTGAATGTGATGCTTCGGGTCTCAACGTCTGACAGTTACCATTGTACACGCATAATGATTGTAACGTTTGACGATACCATGTGACACTATCCACAAGCCACTTTCCTTTTTCTATTCGATCCTTTCTGGAACCCAATTCGCTACTGACAGTTGGCTCGGCAATGTTGTGTTGAATCAAATGAAGAATGGTAACCCCTAGTGAGAGTTATACCGGAAAGACGTGTAGGATGAACCAGTACAAAGAGGAAAATTTTACCAATTTCGAACTTATCTGTATTTATTGACCTGCGTTTAGTAAGCGACAAAGATTAAGTTGTCATGCTGGGACTGCACACCCCGCAAGCCACTTCATTAGTTGCCACCTGCAGCGATACCAAGTACAGCATTCTAGCACACAATTCATCCATCTTTACTTCTTCGTTGATGAGCGTACCACAAACCACTCGGGTTCTACAATTCAGCGTCGGTTTTTGACAATGGCTGACCTTATGTCTTTCTGTGGTAGAACCACCAAAGTCAGATACTCGGTGACGGCGACCACCCATTCCTTACGAATGGCGAGTCAATTGGAATTGTTTGGCTTGATGTACATCAACCGCGCCAATATTGCCCGTAGGAACGCACTCGCAACAGCCGAAACGATCATCCTTAGACTGAGTTAACCCTTCATCTATGGTAATACAAACTTCACCTTATTTCGACCAACTAAGTACTCCTGGACCGTTCCGGATAACTAATTCACATAGATCCATTACCAGGATATTAGCGAGGAAAGTCGTACACCTGCAAGCGCTGTGAAATTACGCTGATTGCGACATAATCCGTATCATCCATAAAGACTAACCGGCCATTTTATTTCTATGGTGTGCTTATGGAGTTAACTTCGGAGCTTACACGAGGAACGTTTTGAAACTTAAGAGAATTCGCGTTGGGATTTCCCTTAAACTGAGTTTTACTCGAAAACGGTATACTTTCTACTACAGGCCCTGTTCGACATAGAAGTTGCTACGTTCGTATGGTACTAGCGTTCAAAGCCTCTGGTAGAGTAAAACGCTATCGTACTTTAGCTATATTTTATAGGTAGAATGTTTAGAATAGGATGGCACCTCTTATTCATGATTCCCGCTATTTCTTTTTAGGTCTATCATTCACACTTCAATCCTTTGGAGTGGGCATTACCTCATCGTGATGACAATGTATGCTACGCAAAACTCGTCTGTAACAAGGCAGCGGTGAGTAATTTCCGTTTATTGGTATGTAGTTCGTTGTTATGGCTTTTTTTCTAAACTGCTAGCTATGTTGCTTAAAGGAGAACTGAATATTTTCTACATGCCTTGAGATATAAAGGAAGACTGCAGGTATCTCTTGAATCTTGTCGCAGATCTCACCTGCCCTTTTGCCCAGTTTTTTCTCGCCAACTTTCCACAGTATAGTAATACTCCAATAAACCTTAGGATGTAAAGCCACTCCGCAGTATGATCTTCAGTCACCGTTCTTCACCATTCCTATTGCTCAAATGTTGGTCAAGCTAGTTGGACGCATTGGAATAAAGAATCGAATGCTTTCTACTTTATAACCATTAAATCCTTCCTTACGCTCCAACGGACAACATCCAACCTGAGTCGCTCCTTTTTATTCCGATTCTTGACTCCCCAACGACGTCCTTGTTGGCACTGATGCTTCAATTATAAAAGAAGCCCTAAGGTGGAAAAAGATGAGAGTAGACAGGGAACAAACCTTATGCTGGCTTGCCGCTATTATATTAAATTCCCTACTCCCCCAATGTTCAATCACTCGGAATTGAAACTGACAGCACGGACATCATTGGCATCAGTTAGCCGCCACATCTTACTACTATTTCGGAAGACTAACTTAATTATAATGAGTCGAAATCTTCGGAATGTCCAGGTAGTATTTACGCGTTTTCAACCCCATCGCAACAAGTGAACCCAGTCAACTTTTGGTACTTATATATACGGAGGATCCGTCCAAATTTGACTCCCAAAGTAAGCTATTCTTCTACCCGTGACACCTCGCTCTTGCGAATAACAACCCACATTGTAGCGGTAAGCCCTAATGGTCGCCATATACAGCTCTATTTATACCCGTTACGGCCCGGTTTCTACATTAGATGATTTTGTGTACAATTTAACAGTCACAGGAAGCCTACTGCTATGTATTAGTCCTTCGACGTCCCCGGTGCATATGGGCGGTAGATATGTAAGTATACCTGAGTCCAAATTGCTGCTTATGACTTTCTCCAGTGATTGGAATCGCTTATGCGTATTTGCTGCTGCCGTGGCTACTGAGGCGGGCCTATTCAATCACAAAACGGTTAAAACACGTATAGTGCGAGATGTAAGCATTTCAACTGATCATGTGAACCGTTACGATTGGAATCAAAATGTGTGTGGCGATGGAAGTTGAACGACTAGAGAACATTTCCGGTTAAATTCATGCAAACAGTAAAGCAGATACATAGGTGTTACCATAGTAACTCGATCTCGGGATGTGATTATATTTGGTGTTCGGTCAGTGACCCGACTTCGTGTCAATGAGCGTTTTAGATAAGGAACTAATGGCCTGACGTTTAGGGACCTAATTTTGTTGTCCGTGATAGTCGTTTACCTAGGGAGTACTTCGAACTGCGCTGTTTCCTATATATGTAGGAGAATCTCTTTCAAATATCTCTGATTTGGTGAATGATTTGGTCACGGACGAAGGCTATTTTCTTCGTATGCTTACGTTCGTGCGCCCCGAAAGTGGCTTTTGAAAGGGAATAAAGTAGAGCTCTCATCTTTAGACGGACTTCTCACGAGACCTTTGGGTGACAAGGTGCAGTAAGCGGTTCTCCGTAAATCCACACGGGGCGCACAACTTCCGCACTTTTCAAAAGCCTGGCTCGTGCTGCCGCACACGGCTTTTTGTTTTTCTTATCCCTTGGTGAATGTTTCCAATAACTTCCATTGTGAAGCCATTACTCCAAATTAAAGTAGCGTATAAAGTTAGATCTCAGGGCGCCTCTTTACTCAATAATTCAGTCTTTGAGAATACAACTTAATGGAACTTGCTGTTTTTAGTATCTCTTATTCCGAGCGGTACGGATTGATGGTCCTTAAAACCGAAAGCCAGCGGTACATACAAGTGAAATAAAGGTAAAACAGAGTCTGTGAGTACAGTTGTGAAAACTATCTACGCCGTGATCGACCTGCCTTCGTAGCCAGCGATCGCGAAACCAGATCATAAAATCCCCAGTATGCCTCCGAACGCTCACCGAATTCACAGACTTGGATTCCGTGAACGCATGGAAAAGACGGGAATGTGAACATCTTCAGTTCACATCACTTTTGCTTGAATTTGGGATATGTCCCATAGGGAAGTTTGTTGATCTCTAAATGAACATGGCATTCCACTCTCTGTCCGTGCATCATACCCCACTCAAGTTGCTGAGGTATACGAGTCGGTGGACTTTTTGTTATTCATGCCATAATTATGTGGTTGGAGAGTTATTTAACTTCCACCAATGTCAACATCAAATTCCGAGTTATTCCTTGTCTGGCTGTCACGTGCTGCCTTGTTGGTAATTATTTCGGCTCTAAATTGCTCAGAAACTTTTCTTTCTATTTTTCCGCCTAATTCCAGAATGAACAAGTCCTCGGTTTCCACGTTCTCGGTCCAAATGCCGGAGAAATAACCCAGGGCTATGCTGTTGCGATGAAAATCGGTGTGACCAAGGCGGACTTCGACGCGACTATTGGTATTCATCCTACGTGCTCCGAGGTGAGGCCATCGATATGATGACTTTAAAAATGCCGCCTTTCTATTCCTCCAGCTACATGGTCTATTTAAACCTTCCGTTTCATTTACCAAATGTCTTGTATGCAAGTGTTGTTGGTCGTTTTCGCAGCAATAACAACAAGGTTCCCTCTCTTGCCGTGTTCATGATCACTATTGTATACGCAAGATAACATGAGCGCCATAAACTCGTTCCAGAGCTCCAACCGCTTGGCATTCATTGACGTCGTTTTACACGTACGACTGTCAGAAGTCTCTCGCCCCAACAACCGATATTCTACTCAGTCTTCGCCTACTTATTCCGGAAAACTCTGATTGTGAGACTCTTGAACATGTCATACGTACCTTTCGTCATAAGATGAACCCTTTTTAGGATGGTACCACAACTTTGGTAGCACCACAGCAGGGTCATGTAAAAAGGCCTCAAGCGGATCATCTCTTCTATTTATTGTTTTAAAGTGAGCAATCTAAGTACAGTGAAACGAGCAGTGGGAGTGAATTCAATAAGCTTAAACTTGTTGGTTGGCATGCGCCTCAACTTCACGCACTTGCGAAAACTCATAAACCCGATGTATTCATTTTAGCAGTGAACGGTTCGTCTTGTCACACTTTGGCGAGGTGGCTGGTAGACATCCCTAAACCTGTGCGGACAGCACTTACTGAACATGAGCTGTTATCCCACTTTGAGTAAATTGATACATCTCGGATAGTCACGTAGCAGTCTGCTTAGTTTACCCACAGCTAATCTTAGGGATATGAATTTACTGTGCCTAAAGGATGTCGAATTTTACTTTTAAGGCACCAGTGGGGGAGTGCTATGGGACCCATTAACCACTATTATTATGACGAGACTTGATTAATCGGCAGAAAACTACATTCTCTTCGTATAAACGGAATCTAGGCGGTATTTTATTCGTTGTAAAAGATTGAGAACAGGTTGGACATGTGCTTTCAGATTTCCACACGCCGTTGAAACATTCCTTTCACCTGTGGCTTTGAAGTAGAAGGCAAAATTCCTTTTTTTTGAACTTACCGATCACCAGGAATACCAATGGTATCGTCTCGCTCCGTTTATCGAAACCCTACCTGGGCCGGATACATCAGTTTCACCAGTTCCTGTCCCACGCAGCACAAACATGCTTTGGTTCACACTTTATTCCGTAGTCGTGGATGACGGGGAATATTATACCCTCATCAAAGCAGTAACTCTGAAGAGATCTTTGGTGATTTAGCGTTCATGTTCGAAACCCCGACCACATTGGAATCATTCAGTCACGTGGTTGCTTAGTGCCTCAAACGGGGAAATTCAGATTAACTATTTGCCATCCTGTTTCCTCTGGGTAGTGAGAGTTAGGAATGGCCTCTCATAAGATACCAGTTTCAAGCCAAATCTCGCAGGATGGGAGCGAAGTGGGAGCTTGTCGGAAGGACTACTGAGCATCCGAACGCGAAACTTTCATCCATTAATTCACCCAGACACTGTAGTAGCCGGGCTCAGATGTGTATCTGGTTCGTTCCGTTACTGAGGTGAGTCGATAAGGTTTGAATTCCTAAATTAAATATCTATCATCTTTAACTTTGCCTTTGGGGGCGGTATGACTCAATGGTTAGGGCGCGAATTTACTGATCGACAGGTCCTTTGTCTAGGCTTGGGCGATCCGGCAATATCCCGGGCCTCGTGCTTCCTTCAGGTGGCTGGCAGACAGGCACCGAGTGTTACAGTTGAACAACTATTTACTTAATATTATTATAAGTTTGCCTTTCCGGAATCCTATGTAGACAGGCACCGAGTGTTACAGTTGAACAACTATTTACTTAATATTATTATAAGTTTGCCTTTCCGGAATCCTGTTCCCAGCTACAATAATGATAATAATAATAATAATCGCTTAGCTCTAACACCCTTTCGGTGCCTGGCTACCATGCCACTCGAAGGAAGCGAAAGGCCTTGAATACTGCCAGGTTCCGCAACCCTAGACAGGAGTTCTCAGTTGTCGCTCATAGGTACTTAACATATAACCATTGAGTTACTGTTCGTTTCAGACACACAGCTGATTCACCAGAGAAACGTTTAGGATTTAGTTCGTACCGAGCGATGCAAGTGGCTGCTGTTTGTTTCGGACATTGTCAATTTGTTGCTTGTGTTCCTCGCCCCATCGACCTATGGTGCTCGCCTTAACTCACTCTCCCTCCAACTCTCGTTTCAGACTTTCACCACTCTGTACGTTACGAAGGATTCCGGGGTCACGCCAAAAGTTACTGGTTGCTGAGGTTAATTCCCTACCGGAACGCACACTTGGTGTTTTCGGCTGAGCGTGGGACCGTGCTTCGTCTTTTCGCGTCTGTCGAATTCACTAAGTGGCTCCGGTAGGGCGTAGTAATGTTCTGTACGGTCGTTTACCGTTCATTCCCCACTTCCTTGCTGTGACCCTAACCTTGGTAAAGTTTTCTTCTCACGAAGAGCCAGGTTTTAGGCGATGTCGGATGTATGGGAATCGAACATTCGGCGGAGAACCGCCACCGTGCCAGTGTTTTCACAACATAACTTGGCGACCGTACCCACTTTGCTTCGGTTTGTAACGTCTTTTTCGTAGACAGATCTTTATTACTTTTTGTCAGTGATCTATCGAGTACAGAATATTCACTATTCCCCCCTGAGACAATCTTTCACTGAAATTTGTCATAGTTTCTACGCTTATCCAAAAATGTTGTGTACGCTGTCTCTGCACACAAGTAAAAAATCAAATCGCGGTGTTTGCTCGACTCTAAAGGTTACTGGAAACCCTTCAACAATATGCTACCGGTTCCACTCTTCTTGAGGCTCATGCAGTTGGTGTAGTTCCTGAGTTTCCATGGAACTCATTACTCATGCTAAATTGTCAGCATCTTGGTCATTCTGGGGATAGTCATGTCGCTGCTTCTCTCATGTGGTTTGTCTTTTTTGCGTAACTTATTTTGGTTCAATGTGCAGGCAGTCTGCCATTTTTATCATTCAGCGCTTTCAACTTCGTGAAATAAGTAAGCAATCCCGTTGTGAGTCATTATGCGGCACTTATTTTCCCCATCGACACAGGCATCATAGCCACTTTTATGCCGTATGAAGGCTTGATGTATATTTTATCATGTCCATACGAATAAGGCTAGGGCCCAATTATCCCGTTTTCTCGACGAACGTTGTGAAGTTTGTTCTCTGGGATGTAAGACAGGAAAACTCCAGCAATGCAGACTTATCGTTTGCTGTCAGGAGCCCCGGTTTCTGGCACTTTCTTGGCCTCTGACACTTGTGGTTGCAATCAGATATGATGCCGAGTAATTGTTGTCTATACTGGATGTGATTGAGGTGAAGTAGTTTGAGCGCCGTTAATTGTTGGTTTATTTCTGAACGCGCTCTCATACATTTGGTACGTTCTCCAGAGTGACATAAGGCAAATAACTTAGATACAAGCTAGGTTTGGCCGTTTTCCTTTTCAACCAGATGATCCATATGATCACTCCAGGGTCCATTCAATAGGATTTGAAATTTGGAGAATGGTTGTCCGGATCACTTAGGAACTTTATTCGGTTTCGTTTCTCAAAGGTAACGTTCTGAGTAGAGGCGCATCCGGGTGGCATCTCAGCAACTGCTGGACGTGGCTGGTCTGATGTGCAGTAAGGACAACACACGTTCTAACAACATCAATAAAGCCTCTGTCTTCGCTTCACCAACTCAGTCAGAATCTATTGATTCCGAACATCAGCAAGATAAAGATGCATGTAGGCATTGGTGTTTCTGAACATATACAGGGATGACTTCCAAGTGACTTATTTTCATGCTTATCAGTCTCCAAGCAGCTGCCGCCTACTGGCCAACGAGCCAATGAAATCGCATAATTTTCTGATAAATAGTTCTGTTATAAAGTTTGATATAGCTGTGCTTTTTAAGTAATATACTGTTAGGCAGTTCATTTAATGAAGCAAACGTAGGCATGAGCCACTCAAGATAACCGCCTGTTGGAAACATGTCCTGAATATCCGAGCCCGTTGCCCCATAGATTCAATTTTGGTAATCGTGATCAAAACGGGTAGATATGTCCACAATATACATCTTTTCCCATTACATGAAGAAGAGCACCACTTTTTTAGTATGGGTACAAGTGATAAAAAAATAGTTTAGCTGCGGCAACCCCATGGTGCGCAGATTTCAAGCCCTCAGCTACCGGTGCATTTCACATCATGGCTCTTTCGTTTTCTGATGGCAACTGACAGTTCAATTAAACGTCCAGTTTGCGTTGAACGGACTTAGACGAGACATTGCACCAACCTTAACAGCCATGTCTATTTGGAACGTAATCGGAATTCAGACCAAAAAATCTGTTATGAAAGCGAACTTCAATCGCTAACAAGCTAACTTTGTGCTAATGGTTATCAGAACAGGTTTCTTTCAAAAATATAGCTGTTGGAACTAAGAAAACCAAGTCGGTGGCGATGGAAAGGAAGTCCATTTTCGTCAGTCTGCTAGCACACCATCTGCCACGACGTGTAAATCACACTTTGACAAACCTCGCCAGTCCTGGTTCACCGCTTCTCATCTAATGCCCCTACCTCTCAAAGATGGCCCACTACTAGAGAAATCGTGACCGATGGCTATTCTCGGAATTTTGATTTTACATAGTGCATAAAGTCGAACAAAGAAACCCGATCTGGATCGCATTGTCAATGCATTTGCCGTATTCGTTCATCGTTATACAGATTGATTTCCACAGATGTATGTATCTCCATCACACGAGTGTCCAATTTCGTAATCCGGGACGTCTCTGAGTGGTGCGATTTGATTCTGCTTCAGAATCATTGCAGGAAAGTCAATCACGCTGTTGCCGCCGATTGTCCATTGTCTGGTTCTCTTCAGGAAAAATAGGCTATTGGGAGGACGTTTTCTTAAGCGCATTACATACAGTGCACCCGCATGAGGCTAAGAAGGCCATGGGGTAAAAAACGAAGATATTGCTGTAGAATCACACCGGTCCACCAATATTATCTCAATACATTTGAGTGTTACGCAATCACCGGTCATGAATCAAAAATGTTTCCTGGACAGAACAAAATAAAGCACATGCTCGTTAGGTCAAGCTGTGCCTCGTGCGTCTGAAAGTCACAGACAGATTATTTGAGCGCTAATGTTTATCCACAACAGCAACGAATGCACATCTGTATCTGTGGAAAGCGAAAAAGTGAACACTCATGCTCAACCGAGAATGTGAATATCTTTGCACTGGTGTCATTCTAGTAATCAGTGCCACTCTAAATCGAACGCATACCCTGGTTTGTCACCGTCACAACAGTCCTGCCAACCCTCACTCGAGTAAAATAGCAGCACATCCGTTGGTGAACTCTGTCCACCTGACCTTGACGTTCGGTTATAAAGTCACATTTTGGTGTACACTGTGAAGGGATTATTTATCAGCCGTTTGCATAAGAGAGACATACTCATGCACAGGCCTGTGAGCCTTTTGGCGTACAAGATGGTGCAATATGGGTGCAGAGCGTCTGTTTTTGACGTCTTCTTAAGAGCAGAACTGGTTGCCTATAGCCGGCAGAATTGTGATATCAGTACAAGTGGCGGTCCTTTCATACACACATCCCACGGACAGCTGATGTTATCCTCATCATTGATAATCGTTTGTTGCGTTTTGACGCCAAGCATTGCACCTTGCAAAAGACGGTCAAAAACGTGTCAATCGAAGCAAGCTTTCGTCACTGGTTAGATGAACTCAAAGTAGCCAGATTATGAATGGCCAGACGCCGCCTGGATACGCGCGATTAACAAAGTCCTGAATCCTACGAAGGTTCGCTGAGTGCAACTCTCACGATGCATCGCTTCTGGATCACCGGTCACACGGAGAGAGAAATGTGAAAGAGCTGAGTTCATCCTTGGCGTTCTGATATGCATAACCACGCCTTGGTCTTGTATGCGTGTTTCGGAGACAGCATACATCAATTTTAAGGTGTATAGGCATTTCCTGCTTGCCAATTTAACATAGAGTACGGACGGTAAAGAATTTCTTGGATTTAAAAGGGCGTTATTTTGTTTACTGTTAATAGCTAGCGAGGAGCATAAGGCCTTTCGGTCAGATAACTGACAGTCAAGTGACCCAACGACGTTTGCTTGTGTGGTGGCCAGGTATTGGAGAGGGACATCGGTGGACACCGAACTGCGCGGGTAAATCATACTTCCCGGTTTAGCAGGCTAAGAAAGGGGATTCGGTACCCCACCTTGAGCCTTTGACTCAAAAGTTTGACCTACAAGGCAGTGGAAGGATGTGAGGTTTTGTTCGGGGACCCTGCTCGTAGCCTCTGGCTCAAAGGTCCGACCTGCAAGGGCGCGGGCAGTAGGGCTCTCTTTGGGAACCCTTCCTGGGGCCGATGACTCAATAGTGTGACCTGCTCAGCTGCAGGGGGTTGGCCTTACCAGAGGGCGTAAGGTATCACTGTCTTACTCCTAGATCTGCCGTGCGCAGCGGGTGCCTCTCGGGCAGCTCCAGGCTCTGGTTTTAAACGTATTTCGACCGTACTGACTAATGCCCCGGTTGTCATGGTCAACCGCTGAGCAGTCGAAATATGCTATTTTTACGGTCCATCTTTCTAACCCGTCCTTCCTCTTGAGATGGTAGCATCGCCCTTCCCATGAATATGGACATGCTGGTCGTCCTACTTCCTTCACACTCCTATCGTAGAGAACAGTACGACCCCCGGACCGCCTCCTAGCATGCTTATTCGTAGGACGAGGTCTAGCTACTCTTTGTTCGACTGCTCACCTTTGGACTTCCTGGCATAGTTACACCATGTGGAACAAACTTGTGGCAAGTGTAGTCCACGGGATCGTTGAAGCATTTAAGCCTGTCCATCGCTTCACGGTGGCAGCTTTAGGTTTGGAATAATCGCACACTTTTTGACGTGTGAGAGTGTATGGTTAGCTCCCCAAAAGCTTCCATATAAGTGATGTCCAGCAAGCACATCCGCTCTCTCTGTCCTTTTTCGATTTCGTCGTCGACAAAATAATGAGGAACGCTCGAAGCTTTCAAAAACACGGCCAGCAAATCTTTGTTGTTGAAAACCTCGGTTTCGAGTAAGCAGATGACATTCCTGTAATCTTTCAAGACGGAAGTGAGGCATTACCCCTTTGGTATAAATTCACCTAAGTCATATCGTCATTCAGCATGAGTCCTGCCCCCACAAAGTGCGAAGTCATGTCTCAGCACGTGTAACCTCGGAACATACTCCTTACAGTTCAACCAGAACCATTAGAGGTGTGGAGAATTCTACATACTTTGGTTGTTATATTGTCTTTCACGGAAGTTTCTCTGATGAAGTCAGTGAACAAAGACCAGAATCACGTCTGCTAATTTGCTGGGCGTCAAGTGCTGCGTATCGGGTTACCGGGAAGGCCGCGTCTTTGAAGAGCTGTTAGACATGGCCCCTGAGAACAGATTATTTGAGGCATATTCAGGTTTCGACTACCGGTGGCTCAAAAGCGGTAATGATATCGGATGGCGTCAACGAATTCGTTAATTGGTAATTAGAAAGCGTTTGTTCAGTTGTGCAGCACACCATTCAGGTACGGAAAACATCCAGTACCATCAGCCACTGTAGCTCGGTCATGTTCTATGCATGCCGAAACGAGTGTTGTTCTTCTTCCCTCCATTAGGATGGCACAAACCGTCAGGCGGTCAATGTATGACTCGGTAGAAAAGTGCGAAATATTATCACGAAGAGTTTGGGTACGGTTGACGCGGTCAGACTTCTGCACTTGACCAGAGATATTGAAAGGAGTAGCGGCCAATCGAT